GTCGCCTCAACGCCCCCCAGACGTAGACGGCATTAGCGTCTTGGTTGAGTCCCTGCTGCTCTTACAGCAGCAGCAGCAGCAGCCCTTGCTGCTGCCGCAGCTGCTGCTGCAGAAGTTTCTGCTGCTGCGGGTGCTGCTGCAGCAGCCCTTGCTGCTGCGGGTGCTGCAGCAGTTTCTGCTGCTGCGGGTGCTGCTGCAGCAGTTTCTGCTGCTGCAGCACTTTCTGCTGCTGCGGGTGCTGCTGCAGTAGTTTCTGCTGCTGCAGCAGTTTCTGCTGCTGCGGGTGCTGCTGCAGCAGTTTTTGCTGCTGCGGGTGCTGCTGCAGCAGCGTTTGCTGCTGCGGGTGCTGCTGCAGCAGCTTCTGCGGGTGCTGCTGCAGCAGCTTCTGCTGCTGCGGTGCTGCGAACAGACGGAAGCAGAGAGCCCCTAGTGTACTGAAGCTCCTGCTGCCATCATCGCTGCTGCTGCTGCTGCTGCTGCTGCTGCTACTGGTACCTTCATTCTTGCTGCTGCTGCTGCTGCTGCTGCTGCTACTGGTACCTTCATTCTTGCTGCTGCTGCTGCTGCTGCTGGTGCCTTCATTCCTGCTGCTGCTGCTGCTGCTGGTCTTCACTAAGGAACCTGTTAAGAGCAGCAAGTTGCTGCAGCGCGGCGTGCGGCAGTGCAGAGGTTGTCTCCTGTGCAGCAGCAGCAGCAGCAGCAGCAGCAGCAGCAGGAGCAGCAGCAGCAGCAGCAGCAGCAGCAGGTTGTTCTGGGTGCCCCCAGGCATCGCCAGCTGTTTGCATGTCTTCACCTGTTGGACCGTAGTCTGCTTCAGGCGTTATAGGCTGCAAGTGCTGCTCTTGCTGCTGCTGCTGCTGCTGCTGCTGCTGCTGCTGCAGATGGTGCTGCTGCATCTGTTGCAGTTGGTGCTGCTGCTGCTGCTGCTGCAGATGGTGCTGTTGCATTTGGTGCTGGTGTTGCTGCTGCTGCAGATGTTGCTGTTGCATATGTTGCTGTTGCTGCTGCAGTTGCTGCTGTTGCTGCTGCAGCTGCTGCTGCTGCTGCTGCTGCTGCTGCTGGTTACTGTGGTTGCGTCTCAGCATAACTGGTTCTGTTTGTGCAAGCATATGTGTTTGCTGCTGCTGTAGCTGCCAGTGTAGTTGTTGCTGCTGCTGTTGCTGCTGCTGCTGCTGTTGCTGCTGCTGCTGCTGCTGCTGCTGTGGGTCCTGCACATGCAGCGGCAGCCTGGCGCTGCGCTGCAGCCGCTGCTGCAGCTGCTGCTGCAGCCAGCAGACAAAAGTATGATCGTCAAAACCATAGTTGAAATAGGCTGTCTTCTCTCGGGTGTATAGCCACCTCTTGCTGCCGCTCATCACCCACTCAGGCACTACCTGCATGCATGCACACACACTTTTGTTTTTCTTTCTTTTTTTTTTTTTTTTTTTTTTTTTTTTTTTTTTTTTTTTTTTT